ATTTCAGTTCACTAGACAGTGAACTAGAAGTGTTTGTATGCAACTGTATACTCATTTGATCAGAAATAATTTGCTGTAAAATTATATTTTAAATTTGATATCACACATAAGCAGTCAGTGTGACAAATGTGCTAAAGTTTAAAGAGATGGAAGAAATTATTCTTCTTATATACTTTCAAGTTCTTTATTACATCTCTTTGCCTGCCCTGAGTTGATTTCTGAGAAGTCCTTTCTTCTGCAGTGTCTAATATCAGATGATGAAGACAAAAACTACTGAATAGCAGATAAAGTATATTATCAACTCTGGTACTGTTTCTGCCACCTATTTTGCTGAATAAAGCCCTAAATAAAGGGAGCCATGAACTCAGAATGAGTTTGGAGCTGCTTGTTCAAATCTGTTCATTTTGAGCACTGGGTCCTAATACTTTGCGAGTTTTATTTTCCATTGCAAAAGTTATCATTGGAATTAAGTCAATCAAGAGAGCATGATGACTATGCCACTACCTTGCTGTTTCAGGCTCGTATCATGGCTCCATAACAAAACACTGATTACTTAGTTTGCAAATCCTTAGTTTGAGAAAAAGAAAGACCAAGCAGGCAGAGAAATAAGGAAAAGTGTGACTCCTTCCATTTCTCTGGCTAAAAACCTTCAGCATATCCTATCTGCCTCTGTTGCTCATGCTCTGCTGTAGAGTAATATGTTTACTTGCAGTGCGTGATTCAGGGACTAGAGGTCTCTGTGCACTGTAGAGAGTCCCAGACAGGGTGTGGTCCCTGATAAATACATGAAACAAAGCTGAAACGCCAGCTGTCTGCAATACTGTTTTATCTGGAGTCACAGAAGTTTTAAAGGGACTGGAATCCACAGAGAATAACAAAATGGATGCGACTGACAAGGAGTACTTGCAACAATGGCTAAAGCAAATGCCCAAAACACAGCATTTTAAAAGCAGTTACATCTACCTGTAAATTACCAAATGTATTTTACAAGCAGGTTTGTGAACATGAACAGCATGAAGGGATCATTTGCAGGTGAAAAAAACAGCAAATAACATGAGACATCTTTTAAAAATTACCAGAGTTGGCAACTCCGTTAGTAGAAAATTATGTATTTTTGAAATTTGCTATAGAGTTCTACAGCAGAGAAAATTCTGCACTATGAAACAAAGCTGTAGAATGTATCTTCTGCTCCAGTCTATAGGATAGAGAGACCACATCCTAAACGTAGCAAAAATGACGAGGAAGATTAAATGGAGATCTTTCTCTTTGAAATCCTTTTTATTTATTTATTTAAGACTTGAGTCCAGCTACTCAGAAGAGGCCTTTATTGCAGCAGGGAAATCAGCCCTGACTTTTGTAGAGCAAAATGAACAATGAAAGGAAGAAGAGGACTGAGGCATGTAACAATCTAGAGAGTCTTTACTTTGCTTTTCTTCAACTCCACAGTGCTTTAAGTCTGTTGCAGCATTTCAAAGAAGGTGGCCTTGTGTTTTGTTTCTTTCTCCAAACAGAATGTCATACAGAGACTTTGATCATCTCATTCCTTTAGTTTCAACTGGCATGGCTTTATAGCATAAAGGTAAATCAGACCTGCACGCTGAATTCCAGTACAAAGGCAGTAAGACTACTTCTGACATCCGCATAAGGGCACTGTCCACACTCTAAGTGATCTGATCACAGACACTGTAATTATAGCTAATACTAAAGAGACATTGCTAATAATTCAGCTACTATTTTGCAGAAGTACCAAGGTTATTTTTATGTAGCAGTTGCTTACCTGAGTTTTATGCGTATTTACCAGAGAGGGTGCAGCAGCCACCATTGAACTGCTGCGGGGTCTTGGCAAGGGTGTGATCTCCGGCTCAGGTGGTTTCTCTGGCTTTTCCTGTAGCATATGCCTCAATCTTTGCAGATAGTACATCAGAGACCACTGTGTACCCTCCTCTGACCAATGGGGCTGCAGCAAACAACGGAGCACAGCCACATCAAAATAAGTGGCATAGCGGGACTTTTGGCATGGCGGGATCACCACAGAAATCCTGTTATGAAAAATAAAAGCCGTTTTAGAAAATACCCTGCCCAAGGCCTGTGCTCTGTCTAGATACCCACTGCTTTCTAAATACATACTGGTCTGTTTTAGAAAAAAGGCTAGAACTTTTATTTCCATCTCTTCTAGAGGGTTCTTTAAAACAGAGGGAAACTTGTTATGCTATGCCCCACTTTGGCAAACAGGCCAGTCACCTAGAAAGCTAGGCTAATGATGCCTGCACTGGTCACTAAGAAGTTGTTTGAGAGAGAGGCAAATACAGAAGTTTTCATGCTGCCACCAGGACCAATTTGCTTTACTAGCAACTGACAGGTCAAAGAGAGTATCTTAAGGCACTCTGGTTTTCCAGGCATCTGTAGAGAAGCAGATGTTTCTGCAGCTTCTCCTGCTTGGGCTGAAAGCAATATTTGAACCTGAAACTATGAATCATTCTGCCAACTACTTTGGACCTAATCTATTGTTTAAAATTACGTTCATGCTTAGGTGCTTTTCTGGAAAACAATTTAAACAATTTGAAATGGAGTAGAATCTTGGTGAGTAGCTGAGTGAAAGGTTTACAGTAAATACTTTTTGTCTCAATTCTGTCAAAGCTGTGCACTTGTAGACAGGGTGGCTAGGAAGGATGTATCCTGGAGGAATGTGTTCATTTAAAACTTGAAAAACTGCTTGGTTTGCTGCCAGCATCTGTAAATGGACCTTACACAACTCCCTTAGGTCTATTTTAAAGGAACTTCGGTTTTGAAGATTGAACCCTGTATGTCAGCTTGTGTTACTACATTCAGTCTAAAAATGCAAATATTTTAATGAACTAGGAAAATAGCAGTCAGGATAACATATGATGCTAGTTTTTGGTGACTTAAAAACATTAAAAAATAAACAGAAAGTAACCAGTTTTTAAATTAAAAACACTATCAACCCTTTCCCACCAACCTGACAGTAAAGCTTTTAGCAGAAAATCCAAAACTGTATGCATAGGACAGAACCTGTACAAAAGATTGGTACACAGCTCAGACAGACCAGAAGCATCCCAAGGCAAGGAATAAAACCTGTCCAGCTAGACCCTCAATGCTAGCTCAGCTGCACGGACTGGCAAGGGCTACAGGCCAGTCTCTACTCCATTCTATACCCCTCCCTGCCTACCTACTCAAGGGAAGGAATAAGCAGGGAATGCACCCAAAATCCCAGTCAAGTCCAAAGGACGGGGGTGTTCTCCTTGTGAAGAACCTGCCTTGATTGCTACAACTATTTCTACAGCAGAACCAGAGAGTCAGGAGAAGGATGGATTTTAATATTGCAGAGGATCAGTTGCAATGAAGAACTTAAGAAACATAATTATCCAGCATCAGGATAAGCCTGAAATTTCCTGCATGAGTTTCTAAAAAACAGAATTTAAAATCTGTGTTTCTTTCTTTTTTTTTAAATCAAACCTTGTGTTCATTTAGGTAGACACTTATTGCCTCTGCTTGTAGGGAGAGAGGGTAGTTTTTTTATTTAGCCCTAGGTCCAAGGACAAAGGAATACTGTGGTTCTTGGTAAGTGGAAAAAACAACATTTGTTTCTGAGTTGTCTGTTGCTTGGCAACCAAAGCTCTCAGCTCAGTTTTAACTTATCAATGAGTTCTGTACATGAAGAGACATTAAAGCCTGTCTGAAGCTTCATCTCCATAGTAACCATGAGCCAGAGCCTGAGCCTGACAAACACATCACCTGACCGTCGTCTAAAGAGCTGCTGTGCCCTTATTCTTTGTGTGCATGTTGTGCGTGTGCATATGCGTGCTCTCACGGAGCGACAGACTATAAAAGAAATGGTTTACATTCAGAAAAACAATTCTTAATGAGAATTAACAACTGACTTATATTTCCCTGGCTCATGTTAATAAAATGAAATAAAACCAGAAAATTTATATAGGGGCCAGTACAAAACCTTTCATGTCCACAGAAAGATTCCTAATTGGATCAGATCCATGAAGAGCAGCTTTTCCCTTTCAGTAGGTGACAAAATGTACCACAATCTTTCATCTACTACCCCTTCACCCCAAATAAGACATGCACCTTGTTTGGGGGAATGAAGGGGAAAACAGAGTTTTCCAAAGTGATGCCTGCATAGAGCAGAGACAGAGCCTAATCTTCAGCTGATTTGTCCTCCCTTTCCAGTTTAACCAACAGCTGAAACCTAGCTGCCACTTGAGACTGGTCTCTGTGGATGTGTCTATGATTTGGAACTGCTAAAAAAAGTCTATGAAATAGGAGAAGAAAGACCAGGAATAGCTAAAAGACACCAGCATTTCCAGAAGAAAGGTTAGTTTGATTAATGGAACCATTAAAAGGAGAGAAAATCATTAACAGCTGTGGAGTGAACAACAATGAGCCATTAAAGTCAACTGCTTCCCTCAGCTGCCTGAACAGAAATGCCATGACTGTTGTGAACAGGAAGCAAAGCTAGAATGGGAATCGAAGTGGGGTGCTTTTATTGTGGGCAGAAAATCAGCTTCCCTGCTTAAGATGCACACCCCAAATTTGGGGGGCTGATTTTGGGGCAAAAGGTCTGCATGATATGTGAGTAACTATGGTCTTTTGAATAAACAGCTACAATCATTGTAGTCCAAGTCCCAATCTAGCCCAAAGGAAGGGGTGAAATGCAAAGGGAGACTTTTTCAACTCAGAATACTTGGGATGTGAAATTTCTCAGTGGAACTAAAAGTGAAGCAGGGTATTTTCAAAAAAGGAAGCGAGTTAGGATTTCCTTATCCATATAGAGCCTCCTAAAAATATGGTGAAATTTCAGAAGAGAGTACTTACTCACAAATAGTCCTGAACTGAAGACAACCCAGGACATCTGAAATCTGGTCACATCTTTCTACGCCTAATATGTGTTTAGGAGTTTAATTTTACACTCCCAAGCTTGAACTCTCTGTCAAGGGCCTTTAAGGCAGAGAGGTGAGAAAAGGTTTCAATAGCTGTTCTCCCCAGGAAGTTGTAGTGAGTGAACTGAACAGCAGCCTAGGAAGAGCTAATGGACCAAGTGGACAAGCAGCACCACAAAGGAGATTTTACAAAAACTGTCTCCCAAAGAGGAAGAGAATTTGCTTTGATGCCTGCCAAAAGAGATCCATCTTCCAAATTTAGGATAGATCCCAGCCAGAGATCAAAGGGTCCAATTTTTTTTAAATGTCAAACACCCAAATGTAAGAGCTGTATTCCCATTGCATTTAAGAGCAATCCTAACAGACCAGCTGAAGGTATGTCTGAATTAGATAGCATAACCCATGTGGTGGCCACCATCTTTTCCAAGACCAGGCATTAATCAGGGGCTTGTCAAATTAAAAATCAGAGATGCTACCGTTTAAGCTGAATAGCCAAAGTTTTCTCATAGACTCATCTCCTTTGAAGATTGCCCATGGAGCTGAACTTGTAACAAACATCCACAAAAGAGTTATACCAGAAAAAGGAGCCCTTTTGCAAAAGAAATCTTTACCTGGGACGTGGGGGGCCTCTGTCCTGAGATGTTTGAGATGATACACTTCCATCCAAGGAGTTTCCACGGTGACATGCTGAAATAGTAGCCTTATGAGGTACAGAATCTGGTTGGGCTGTTTCACACACCACCTGGAGACCCTTAGGGTGTTTTCAGCAGAGAGAAATATATTTAAAAAAAAAATCTCTGTCTCTTGCATGTTTGCTTTCTTAGTATGATCAGATAGGTGTCCAGATATTAGCATTGTTTATGTTACAATCGCACTAAAGGGACTGAATTGGGATTGTGGACTCATTGAGCTACGCCATGCCGAATGGACATATGGCAGGGGTGGGCAAAATGCAGCCCGCGGGCCCGTCGCAGCCCGCCATTCTATCTGGCCCACAGGGCCCCTAAAAAATTTAGAAAATTAATATTTATCTGCCCTGGGCTGCTTGTCATGCGGCCCTTGATGGCTTGCCAAAACACAGTAAGTGGCCCTCTGCCTAAAATAACTGCCCGCCCCTGACATATGGCAAGACATGGCACTTGTCACAAAAAATGTAAAAGTGAAGGCTTTAATGATATATCTTAGTTTGCCTAGGCAGATTCCTACATCTGCATGGAGCCCCCTTGAATAACTACTGCTTGCAAGCAAGGGCAGGGACTCATGCATGATAAGGTACCACAAATAAGAGAATGACAGGAGGGAAGGAAGGGCAGGATGTAACAGCATTTGAATGCGGAATAATCTAGGCTGGTTGGTGTGCACCTTTATAGTCCTGAATCACCAAAATGTGACTTTCCGCTGAATAATCCATAGTCATTCTCCTCAGCATTCTTCACAGCTCTTTGTACATTTCTATAATATCAATGCTATTCTACTCCATCTTCTCATTGCCTATCTTGCTTTGACTATCTGGTGCTGACTCATGGCCCTGGGTTTCAAGCACCTTCATTACAGGGAGCAAGCCTCAGAAACAAATAATAAAATTTTAGAACACTTAAGTATCACTGTCAGGGTGGCTAGGACCTGGAACCAACTTCCAAGAGAAATGGTGCTGGCTCCTACCCTGGGGATCTTTAAAAGGAGGCTGGATGAACATCTGGCCAGGGTCGTTTGACCCCAGCCCTCTTTCCTGCCACGGGAGGGGGTCAGACTAAATGATCTCCTCAGGTCCCTTCCAACCCTACCAACTATGAAACTATGAAAGTAGAAAAATATTAAGGGGCTTTGGAGATCTGGTTGGTTAATCTAACACATGCCTAACTAATTTATTGCATATTTTTGTTTATAAATGAATTAAAGCAATCCAAACTGCAGGATAAACCTTGTAGCTGTCATTGCAAAATTTCCCTGAGAGAGATTCCCAACCCATCCATTTTAGTTGAACAGATATTGTTACCCCACAGCTCTCCCCTTTTGATTGTTTAGCCATAAAGGGCTGAATTTACCTCTGTTTGCCCAGTGTCCAGATTCGGGGATTCACAAGACAAGCTCTGACTGTTGGTTGGAGAACTTCTCTTGGCTGATGAAGGAAAACATTTTAAAACACCTTTAAAGCTTTTGTTGTATTAACTGAACAAATAAACTATTTGCTGTTGTAAACAAAACATATTATAAGCATCCCTACTGTTGTAGCACTAACTGCTGGGAAATAGAATTGTTGAAATTATTTTTTTGACAAAAAACACAGGTTTGGGGAAAAAATACTATTTTCTTCAAGAAACGCTGCTTGATTAAAAATTGTCAGCTGTTAATCCATTCCTTTAAAAATAATTTTGGTTGTTGAATTGAGCTGAAGCATATCATTCTGTCATTTGGGCATTAAACTGTGTCTGACTAAGGTATCTAAGGTCCTGCAGCATAATGTAGAACTGTTATTTGTATGCTTCACACTCCTTGTCTCTTAGAGCAGTCGCAGCCAAACTTCTCGGCAAATGTGTCATGTCCCCTTCCTCTGCATGATCAACTGCTCTTTCTGCTCCTTGTCCTGTGTCCCCTCCACACCTACTGTTCTGCTTTCTGCTCTATCTGCCTCCTCCCTGATCTGCCATTTGCCACACACAAAGGCTGTCCATGCCACTTGTGGCACTTATGCCACAGGTTGGCCACCCCTGGTGTTAAGGGACAGGCTCTTTGGCTGGACCACATAGTCCATGATGAACTGTGGTTCCCTCCTCTGGCCAAGCCACATACCCCATCATAGAAACATTAAGATTATGGGAAAGGCAGCTGGGCCAAGGAGTACAGCTGATAGAGAAGAAAAGGAACATGAAGGACTCAAACTACAGCTTCCATAATGTACTGGAGCATCTATGCTTCAGTTTAACTTCAAACCAATCTGCTGTTGGTTTTTTCTATTCTTGGCTGTTCTAAGGGTCTGTGAGCTTCTAGATTACATTAGAACAGCCTACATGTCTACTCGTGTTTAAAGCAATCTTTTTGGACCATCCAGTCATTTCACTGCTCAGCCAGCTACTGAACATGACCACTCTACCTTTGACAGAGACAGAAAAATGCCATCAGTTCCAAATACCCAGAAAGCCCAAGCACCTGCCTTTGAGCCCATTTTATGCTACCATAAATTAGGGGTAACCCACTAAAATATGTGAGAACAGATTCAGGTCCTAAGTCACTAGCTTGCCTTTTGTCTTGTGAAACAATACTATATAAATGCTCAAGTCAGGACTTGGGCTGGGGAGAGACACTACACTGACTATTGCTTTGCCTCTTTCTGTTAAAAACACATAGCTGCTAGTCTCAGTGGGTGCATCTACACATGTGATTAATGTGTATGAATAAACTCTGGAGCTTATTGCTTTGGAGTTTTTTGCTCCTGGGTATGCCATTTGAGCATGTGCTTGGGAGCAAAAAACTGTGGAGAATATTGCTCCAGTTTATTCATGCATAGCATGTGGAGCCTGGTTGGTGCAGCCTGGGCTGGCGAGGGACCCAGGGGGTCAGCCTGGCCAGAGCAGGCTCTATGTGCTGTGCCCCAGGTAGCTAGGGCAGCATCTACACGTGTGCTGCTATGCATGAAAAAACTCTGCGGCAGGGTAGTACTTGTATTTTATTTGTATTTTACAAGTACTACCCTGCTGCAGTTTCATGCACCCTGATAGGGGTACACGTGTAGAGGCTGAGACATTTACTAAGCAGTTAATTAATCAGCTGTGCAGTAAACATCTCATGTAGATGTGCCCATTATTATTATCCCCATCACTGCAAGGGTGTTGCCAGTCTGGCTTCTACTTATTCTCAGCCACTCAGAAAGAAAGATACAAAACTGACAGAAAATGATATTTTACATAAGAACAGAGGTGGTCAACTATGTTAGTCTGAAGTCAGGCAGAGGGTAAGGGAGGGTGGCACCTTAGAGACTAACTGGTTCAAAGAGGCATGAGCTTTCATAGGCAACAACCTACTTTGTAACATCTGATGAAGCAGGCTGTTGTCTATGAGAGCTAAGGCCTCTCAGAGACAGTCTTAAGTGCTACCCCGCCCTACATTCTACCTAAGCAATGTTTTCTCTCTTCTTCCATTAAAAGGTTATGCAAATACTGGTTGGCTTTGAGAGAAACCACCTTAAAAAACTCTGAAATGACAAAGGCTACAGAAAATATTGTGACATTAGAGAATTTATTTAATTGCAGAACAATTTTAAATGCATGGATCAACTTGTCAGCTGTTAAAAACTACTAAAAAGTAATCAGAGCACAATGAGTTATAACTATTGAGGATTTGGTTGTCTTAGGCAATTTTTCTTTTTTCCTTGCACAAACCTGTATAATTGGGTTTCTGGAAATAAGGCACCTAGCACTACAGGTACATGACAGTAATGAGAAGCAGATGTCTCAACCCCATACTGACACTATCAGATACATTTACTTTTAAGGATTTGCCAACAGACAGAAATTGCATCAATTTAATTAAAAGATGTGATATTAAGCCATTTTGTAAAACCATGGCACTTTCAGTTAAGCTCTACAACCTGTGTATGCAAAGCCAACAGGATAGCAAAGAAACTAAAAACTGACAAACCATAACAAAAAATATAATGGAGTCAGATTTGGTACCAGAGTGAGGGAGAGGTGGTTCCACTTACTGAAACTATAGCAGATTCATCTGTCTCCAGGCTGATTATAGCCTGTTAGTTTTGATTTTTATTTAAATTGTGGGCTTATCTCCACACACAAGTTGTATCCATTTAACTGTATTGGCATTGCAATTAAATTGGTGCAATTTCTGCATGTGGATCTGGCCATGGAGAAAATGTTTATTTTTGAGAAAGCACATAGCATATAGAGCTCAGACATCCATACTGCATCAAGGAGAGTCTCTGGTTGTCAATATCTGAAACAATACAGCATGCCACACACCTGTAATAAAGTTCCTAATTGGTTTAACCAGAGCAGTGAAGGCAGAAACCTCAGGCTGCCTGTGTTCCCACATGGGCTGCCAAATAACAAGGCCACTGGCCAGCCGAAAAGTTAGGTCAGACTCCTGAAGAGACACAAGGGGATCATACAACATTTGAATTAGTCAGGCTAACTCAAAAAAAGCATTGTTTTCTGAGCTGATTATCCCCCTCCTGGACCTTGGTCACCCTTGTTACATGGACCTTGAAAAAAATAACAATGATCACAGTATGCACTTCTTACATGGAATAACTGAATGGCCAAAAGCCACCTCAGTAACTATTCAGAAAATATACTGCAGTCTTGTGTAGTGGATTTGTAATAAAATAATATGGAAACCATAGTAAAAGGCTAAACCATAGTAAGGGTGACCAAAGATTCAATACCTGAGACCTGAAGAAGTGTAACGGGCCACCCACAAGCTTCCTTATGTCCCTCCCAACTACACAGCTGGCCGGATAAAAGATACCATGCTCAAAAGTCCTTGCGTCACACAATTTCAGGACCATCACAGCTACAACATCCCTTCCAAACTCACTATTTTTCCAAATATTTGTTTAGAAAGCATGGGCAGTTTACAAAATGTAGAAGCAATGTTGTAGCCATGATGGTCCAGAAATTATGAAGAGACAAGGATTTATTTGGGTGATATCTTTTATTGGACCAGCTATGTAGTTGGGATAAAATTAGACAAGCTTTCAAATCTAAGATATTCTTCCTGAGGTCTCTGAGGAATTCAGGCACCAGCAAACAATATCATTTCTATTATATATTACATATAACTCCCCACCACTCTTCCTCCCCTTAAAAAAATATCTTTTTAAAAAGTTAAACACACAGAGGCTGCAGATTTATGCATGCATGTTAGTTTACTCCTGTGGGCTCCTCTAATTGAACAATTTACATAAGTAAAGTTACAAGTACAGCCAATCTTTACAGAACTACGGACCAAGTCTGAATATATTTAAACAAAGGCCCTGTATGCACTAGCCAGGTACAGACATTACGCTTTTACTGGTACAAGTGATCAGAAACCAGTCTACACCTGTAACAGAACAGAAGTTCAGCACACATGGACTAATTTAAAAATGGCAGAACCCGGTCTAAGATTTGCTCCTCCCACCAAAGGGTCAATGTTTGTTTTGTTTGCTACGTATCTAAACTTACAGAAAACAGCATAACTTAGATGGATTCCACCTTGGGCTTTTTGGATGTCTGTACCTAGCTTAAGAGCACTTTAACGGTGCAGGAATATCAGTTCACTTTACCAGCAAAGCTGCACTATGTTGCTGTAGTAAAAAACAGCCTTCAGAGGCAAAACAAGGTAGGCTGGTGAAAATACATCAGATCATTACATTAAACCTTAATTTAGCTCCTTTGTACAAATGTATTAGGATACATTCTTCAATTACATGATGACATTTGTTTTTCCATGGATCCCTTCACATTCATTGCAATGAAGGGACAGTAGTCACTGTACACTATTCAAACCTTGCTCTTAGAACAGAATGATTGATTTCCTCATGGGCTTCTCAAAGGCACTCCTCCTGATGATATCCTATTGTTTTACAATCAATAATTATTTTATTTTTACAAGAAACCCCATGAGGTATTCTCAACCCCATTTTAGAGACAGGGAATAACAGACAGAATACCACCAAACATTTTCGCTAATTTGTGTGCCTAATTTGAGACACTTTTCTGAGATCTTTATACCCTCAGCTCCCACTGGTTTCAGTACTCAGTATTACTGATGACCAGTCCAGCAGTGTACATAGGTATAACTAGATGCAGATGCCTCAGTTTGGATATTTTGTCCACGTAATGTACCCAATGCCACAACCCTTGCTAATGTCACTGAGTTTACTTTCAATGGCAATATGATTGCTGTCTTCTGTAAAGGCAGCAAAGTTGTACACCATATACTAAATTCTTTAGCCAACATTATGACCTTTGGTAGCAATGGAAGGCAGAATCACAGCCTCTCTTTCTACTGGTATCACCAATTACCACTACCTGAAGAGCTCTACTTACCTTTATTCTATGGACCAATGGAGCAAACAGGAACACAAAGAGCTCCACCGTAGCCATGGAATTCTGAAAGAACCTCCTCCTGTTATTCTCTTCCTCATCGTTAGAGATGCTGTGTCTGGGGTGTCCTGGCGATCCCTGGTTTTCAATCTGATGAATAAAGGCGCTACTACTCCCTCCCCAGCTTGAGCCTCGGTCTCCTCCAAATCGGTCATTGCTGCAGTCTTGAGGAGCCTCCAACAGCATCCAGTGAAGAGTGTGAAGCAACTTAGTCTCTGCTACTCCAAGCTTATCCTGATGTCCTGGATAAAACATATACAGTATTGCATGTGTAGTGTTGCCATATATGCATTCCCTCTTTGCCTTTGAAAATCTTATTCCCACATTAAAAGTGTCAAGTTATATAAGTGTTATTATGTCTTGGATAAATATACCTGATTCACAGTTTTCATTTCTACTGCAATCTGATTGCTGTGAGTGCAGGCATGTGACATGTTTACTCCAGAATAAGCTGAAACATGATGGAAAGCCTTGACCCAATGTAAGTCTTCCCACTCTAGAGGAAATTTACCCTTAAGAAGGTTAGGTATAGCTACACTGCTCTCCTAATCAATGTCACTTTGGGGCATACAGGTAGAACAGAACAATGCAAACAGGTTCCCCTACATTAGAACATATCAGAGCAAACTCAATTAATTGAGTTGGCTGGAGCATTCTGATTTGCATTCAGCATCCCATGCTGGAGCATTCTGATTTGTATTCAGCATCCCATGTTTCAAAATTGTGGCAGGGGCAATTTAACTAAAACTCATTGAATGAGCTTTAGTTAAAGTGCTCCCGTGGCCATTTTGAAATGCAGGATGCTGAATACAAGTAACGCAGCAGCGTTTTAATTAGATGATCTAAGTAAAATGTGCCCCGCCCCCCCAAGCATGTGTATAGACTATAGGGTTGCCAACTCTGTTGGAATCTATTTCAGGAGAATCTATTCTCTTGCCAACGTTCCCACAAGAGACAACACCAACGTGTCTACGACTTACAATGTGAACGTGCCCGCATGCTTGTGTATATCAGTTACAGATTTTGGTGCATAGACTTTATATCAGGAAGGCAAATGTTCATTATTATTACATTTTAAATACCCACTGGACTACTGTATAAATCCGATTTAACATTTATTTTAATGAATGCCCTATCATTATCTCCTGGGTGAATCTCAGCAGTCTCCTGGAGATTTCTATCTAATTCCTGGAGACTCCAGGGCAATCCTGGAGGGCTAGCAACCCTGGTATAGACACCCTAATGGTCAAGTTTTGCAATAATGCCTACCAAAGGTGGCCTACATGGGAGAGCTGGTCATATGTGTCCACTCATTACTCTAGAGTGCTTGATCATTTGTAACCTTTCTTTTCATATTTTTTTATTCTGCATTGACATCAACATGATGAATCTATGGTATTCCCCTTCCTTTTCATAGCAACAGACACACGTGTTCACCCATAGCAACATGTGCTAACTTGTACACACATTATCTTAATGTTAAACAAAATCTAGGACTTGAAGGGAACAAAAATTGATGAGACAATTGTACTGTGACTGCTTCAGTGTAGCACTAAACAGAACGGGATTCATACTTGGTTGGTTGGGCAATTCCTTATATAAATAAAAATATCTCCATTGATAAGGAAAATGTAGACAAATGAAACCCTAGTGGATATATTTTGTATCAGTTATATCCTTTCAGTCCCATTCACACACTCAGAATGATCAAGGGTTAAGATTTCTCCTAAACAAAAATGAAAGGTATGATGCTAAAGAACTCCAAACCGATTAGAAAATATTAATTTTTTTACAACTATTTCAGCATGACTGAATCTCCAGTTCTACAGGAATTTTGGATTTTCTTAGTTTGCTTTTGCTTTCCATTTGCAAGAAGTCCATGGTTCTTTCCATTATTTTAGCTGTACTTGAGTTTTAAATACACCAAACTCCTATTACTCTGTTATCCAGAGTTCTGTCAGCAAAGTAATCAGGAGCCACAAGAACACGTGGCAAAAACAGTCATTAATTTGACTAGGCCTATATGTAAATTGGATAATATTTGTGGGGATCCAAATGAAGAGGACTAACAGAAACAATGAAAGGCCAATCCTGCTCAATTTTACTCTAGTGAAAAATTCTTACTAATATAAATAGTCCCATTTAATGGGACTATTTGTCCAGGTAAGCTATGCAAATATGGATTAGCAGGATTGGACTCCACATCACTGAGAAAATGTCTGAGAAGCAACTGTTCACAGATCTGCATATAGCTCAGTGGCCCATCCATAAAATTACTGTAACTCCATTTACTTCACTATCACTTCTCCCAGTTCACGGTGGCTGTGTCTACATGAGACACTGACGGCACAGTAGCCCACAGCTACTGCGCAGTAGCATTGCATCATGCTTCCTGCCACACAATGCTACTGAACAGTAGCCACAAGCTACTGTGCAGTCAGCATCACGAAAAATTTTATACAAGTACTAAATGACTATGGAGCAACAACTGCAGAGGCAGTGTCTCATATAGAAGTGGCCACTGTAAATGAAAGGATGGGATTAAGATGTATAACACTTAACTGAGCTAAAGCACAGTTTAAACGTTTGGGAGTTCATACATTATGGTAGTGGTCAGCAACCTACAACCCACAGGCTTTGGATCTGACTTGTGGATGTGGGGCTTTGGCAGCAATTGGCAGCAGCGGGCACCTTCTGTGGGAGCTCTCTCACTGTGCTGCTGCAGGGACAAATATTGGCAGTGGGAGCTTTCCTCATGCTGCCGGGGAGACAAGCAGCAGTAGCAGCAGGGGTCCTAGCACCCACCTTCCCACCCACCTCCAGCCTGGGGTTGATCATTCCAGCCCTCAGCCAGAAAATGTTGCCTTCCCCCGACTATAGCAGGCTGAGCACAGCTGTGACATTTTGACAGAAGATCAACTATGGTAGGTACTAACCTAGCTTGTTTCGGTTAGACAGCAATGTTGCTGTGCAGTGCAGTACATGTGGTAAGGCAGCTTGCACCAGTTCCCAGCGAGAAATGCTTTGGATGGCTTCAGAAAGGGCCGGAGAAAGACCATGTAGTTTGTTCTCCACTAAAACTCTTTCAAAAGACTATAACAAAGACAAAGAAACAAAATAACATGCATACATACATTGTCCAAGTGCATATACTGCAGGGACTGAAACATGCTCTTCTAGTGATCTGGCAGATAAACAAAATACAATTTAGAATTCTTTTTAATTAAACTATTCTTTAAATATTTTCCTACAAGGTAAAGACTCTAGCTAATACTCACTAGACAGATGGATATTCTGTGCTAAGAAGAAGAATTCAGAGATTATATTACTTATTTCTTCTTCTTTTTTTAATTAATAAATCACATACACTTTACACTCATTTAAGTATGCAGGGTCAAGTCTGGCTCACAGTTTTGCTGGTGTAAATTTGGAATGATTCTGTTAAAGCCAGTGAACCTGCTCTATTTTTACATTAGTATAACAAAGAGCAAGATTTGACTCAATTTCTTCCTGAAGGTTTCTTTTAATATAAAGGGCAGCCTGTTAAAGGCACATAAGCCCTAAGAAAGGTTTTCATACCCAGTATCAAAAACTAATCCATATGCATAATAAAGACATGCTGTAATATACTTGCAAACAGTTAAGGTTATTGGATGCAACACATTGATTATTTCTGCCTCAAGCATTGTAATATGTGGGCTATGGTACCTATTTTATAAAGAACAAGTCTTAAGAAAGTTTATTATTGTCTAATAGTCAAGCTACTTCTAGAAGTCTTTCTTTTGTATATGGCCTGAAAGGTCATTAATACATTTACATTCCTTTGACGTTACTGCTGCACACATGTGCATTAGTGATAACCTATGACCTTGCCATACACTTACCTATGCATTCACAAGCTGATTCACCAATTTTGCCATGTTCATAGCTCTAAGGAACTTTGGCATTCATGACCCAAAATATATTTCACATACCATCACTCCAGATTCACAAAATTCATCCCTCAGCACCAGGCATACTATTCCATCTCCAAGTAAGTGAATAGTAGGTATCAAAACTTTGCTTAAATCACAAAGGAGCAAAACAAAAGGAGACTGATTATAATTCAGTCATTAACACTGGACAATTAGCCCAAAGTGAGCAGTACCAACCTGTCTGCAACAGAGCAGGTGATATTCTTTTATATACACTAAGGACAGGAAAGGAGGCTTTTCACAAGCTTATTCTGTAAGGTAAATCACTTGGACAGCATTTGAGTATAGGTGGAGTTAAGAGCAGTGAAAATGGACTGTGTAACTCCTACAAACAGATGATGCATAGAAGGATGTACTGATAGATATGTACAACTGTGTGTTGCTCTAGTGAATCAGACCCTGGAAATAATGAACAAACATTAGTGCTATACTTTCACACACACCACACACAACCAAATAAGATACACTTTGTTTTGGGGAAGGCAGAATGAATATTTTTTTTTTCAGTTATGGCTGCATGGGGCAAGGATAGAGCCTAATCTTCAACTCACTCAACCTCCCTTTCCTGCTCAGGCAAAAGCTATAATTTTAACCCTTTCACACCAGAAGTGGCTTCTTTTGCCTCAGCAAAAATGGGAGGATGAATGAGCTGAAGATTCAATTCTGTCCATGCTACAATTAAGCTATGAAAGGGTTAAAACTGCAGCTGCTGCTGAAGACTGGACTTTCCCCTCCTTTCAAGCAGCTGCTGAACGGAAACAAGGAAAAGCAGAAGTAGTCATCTTGCAGCATCTCCCTGCTTCTATTCCAGGCAGAAGAATCAGCTCTAAGACATGGACCTAAGACATGAACCACAATTTTGAAGTACAATTTTTTGGGAACAGAGTACATGTAGTATGTGATTAAATATGGTACTTATAGGTGAGAAATGAATACTTATACTGGATTGTTGAAATTGATGGGTCTGCTAGCACTCTATTCTGACAAAGAAAAGAAACAATCAAGGTTCTTTAAAGAAGAAGGCAGCTGTAATGACACTGTACCAGCCAGATGGAAGGTCTAAATAAGAACTAACTCCAGGAGAAGACAGCCTTCCTGGGTATGAGTGAAACGATTAGGCCAATGATTAGATTGCATTTCTTTGCATGCATAACCATTTGTATCTTAGGCCCCTGACAGACATTACACTTAAGACATAGTTAACTGGTTAATTCATCAGATGCTGGAAGCACCCCTCAGCTGTTTGAGACTCCTGCAGCTGGGAGCTCCAATCAGCTGATCAGGGATCCCAGCTATGGGAGGCATGGGGCACTTCCCCAGCTGGGAGCCCTGACAAGCTGTAGGGGGCATGGGAGTGCACTGTGTAATAGATGGGAGCCCCAGTTAGCTGAAAAAATAAGCAGAAAGCCAGAGAACCAGTGAGTAGTGTGGAAGAAAGCCAAGAGAGAGAGACATTCTGCAAGTATGTCACAACAAGAGAAAAATCAAGCAAAGTGTGGGTCCCTTACTGAATGGAGGAGGGAACCTAGTGACAGATGATGAGGAAAAGACTGAAGTACTCAATGCCTTTTTTACCTCAGACTTCACAGGCAAGGTCAGCTCCCAAACTACTGCACCTGGCAGTGGAGTTTGGAAAAAAAGTGAACAGCCAACAGTGGCAAGAGAATAGGTTAGGGACTATGTAGAAAAGCTGGACACATACAAGTCCATGGTGTTGACTGAGGGAGTTGGCTGATGTGATTGCAGAGCCACTGGCCATTATCTTTGAAAACTCATGGCAATCAGAAGAGGCCCTGGACAATTGAAAAAGTACAAATATAGTGCCCATCTTTAAGAAAGGGAAGATGGAAGATCCAGGGAACTACAGACTGGTCAGTCTCACCTCAGTCCCTGGAAAAATCATGGAACAGGTCCTCAAGGAATCCATTTTGAAGCACTTGGAAGAGAAAAAGGTTATTAGGAGCAGTCAGCATGGATTCACCAAGGGCATGTCATTCCTGACCAACCTGATTGCCTTCTGTGATAAGATGACTGGCTCTGTGGATATGTGGAGACCAGTGGATGTGATATAACTTGACTTTAGCAGGGGTTTTGATAGTCTCCCACAACATTCTTGCAAGGAAGTTAAGTACAGATTGGATGAATTGACTGTAAAGTGGATAGAAAACTGGTTGGATCATTGGGTTCAAAGCATAGTAATCAATGACTCGATTTCTAGGTGGCAGCTGGTATCAAGTGGAGTGCCCCAAGGGCTGGTCCTGGGGCCTGTTTTGTTCAATATTTTCATCAACAGCCTGGAAGATAGTATGGAGTGCTCCCTCCGCAAGTTTGCATGACACCAGGCTAGTGGCAGTAGTAGATAGATTGGCTAGTATTGAGAGAGACCTCAAAAAATTGGAGGACTGGACTAAAAATTGGAGGAGCAGACAGTTTCCCATATGGTCTAGCAGTTATGATTCCTGATTTTCACCCAGGTTCAGCTCCTGGTGTGGGAAGTTCTAGTTTTACCTAAGAGTAATAATAGACCACAGTATGAACATGAGCCATCAGAGTGATGCTGTAGCCAGCAAGGCAAGCAATACTCTGGTATGCATCAACTGATGCATCTCAAGCAAAACCAAGGAAGTGATTCTTCCAATTTACTCAGCATTGGTGAGACCCCAACTGGAGAACTGCACCCAGATCTGGGTGCCACACTTCAACAAGGACCTGGAAAGGTTTGAGAGAGTCCAGAGAAGGGCCACCCATACAATCAGAGACTTGTAAGGCAAGCCATATGAGGAAAGGCTGAGGGACTTGGGCCTCTTCAGCCTGAAAAAAAGAACGCTGAGAGGGGACTTGATAGCAGTTTACCACTACGTCAGGGGAGTACATCAGGGGCTCGGTGAACCAGGGTGCCCTTAGGGAGAACTAGGAATAAGTGGCCAGGAGTAAGTGGAAGACCGTTTCAGGCTCAACATTACTTTCATAGTTTCATAGGAAACTATGAGAGGGGACTCAACATTAAGAAAAACTTCTTCACAGTTAGGGTGTCCAGACTGTGGAATAAGCTCCCTCCAGACACCTACCCTAGAAATCCTTAAAAGGAGACTAGATAGTCATCTTGCTGGGGTCACCTGACCCTACCTGTCTTTCCTGCCTGGTGCCAGGGGGTGGACCCAATGATCTTCCAAGGTCCCTTCCAGCCTTACAATCTATGAATCTATGAATCTATATCAGGGGAGTACAACAAGGGCTCAGTGAACAACTGTTCACCAAGTCACCTTTGGGGAAAACCAGAAGTAATGTCCACAAACTCCTGGAAGACCATTTCAGGCTTAATACTAAGACAAACTTCACCGTTAGGGTGTCTAGACTGTGCAATAAACTCCCTCCAGAGGGGGGGCAATCACCATGGAAATCTTCAAGAGGAGACTGGACTGTCACCTCACTGGGGTCACCTGACCCCAGTTGTCTTTCCTGCCTAGAGCAGGGGGACTGGACCTGAGATCTTGCGAGGCCCCTTCCAGCCCCTTACAATCTATGAATCTATGAATAAAAGAAATGTAATGAGGTTTAATAAAGAGAAGTGTGAAGTCCTACACTTAGGAAAGAACAGTTCCATGCACCAGTACAGGCTGGACACCAACTGGCTAAGCAGCAACTTAGCAGAAAAGGACCTGGTGCCTACAATGGACAATAATCTGAATATGAGTCAACACTGTGCCCTTGTTGCTGAGAAGGTTAATGGTATACTGGTCTGCATTAGTAGGCGCATTGCCAGCAGATTGAGAGAAGTGATTATTCCCCTCTATTCAGCACAGGTGAGGCTATATCTGGAGTACTGTGTCCAGTTTTGGGCCCCCCACTACAGAAAGGATGTGGACAAATTGGAGAGAGTCTAGTAGAGGGCAATGAAAATGGTGAGGGGGCTAAGGCACATGACTTCTGAGGAGAGGCTGAGGAAATGGACTTATTTAGTCTGGAGAAGGCAAGACTGAGATGGGATTTAATAGCAGCCTTCAAGTACCTGAACAGTGGTTACAAAGAAGATGGAGCTAGACTGTTCTCAGTGGTGGCAGATGACAGAACAAGGAACGATGGTCTCAAGTTGCAGCAAGGGAAGTTTAGGTTAGATAT